AATATAAATATTTTTCTTAACTACCACAATTAACCCTTAAATTCGAGCATTATATAGACCCCCTTTTCAATTTTTTTTTTTGGTTATTTCAAAGATTGCATAAACTACTCATTCCAAAATGTATGCAATATTTAAAAAATATTCGTATGTGAATAACAGTAATTTTAATAATTAAGTACATATATTGTTTCAAAAAGCAGTATTTTCACTTGTTGAAGGAAAAAGTCCTACATTACAAATCGTTGGTCTGACCCAACTTTATTTTTTATATAACTGTTTTTTTTTATATAAAATGAAACATATAATAATAAATTTAAAATAAATATAAAAAATTAAATTAAAAAACACTATATGAGAACAAATATTCACAAATAAATTTTCAATAGTAAAGAAAAAACCTCAAAAATTCTTATTGTTTTTCACTCGTTCTTCTATGTTATTTGCTTTGATTTTAACTTTTATTACAAATTATGTTCAATTTTTTTCATATTTGCATTCATGTAAGTATTTATTGGAAATCATTGTATTTTATTGTGCAATATTACTGTTTTTTTTTTATCCTTAATTACATTTTCATTTGCAAAAATGGACGGATATCTATTGATTTTTTCGCTTTTATATTCGCAAATTATTGTCATTCCTTTTTTTATTTTTGTAATTTTTTTTTTTATATATGTAAATTTTTTAAAGCTTAATTGCATGAAACGTTTTTAAAGAGAAATTTCAGTGCTTTTTTTACAAAAATTTTACAACTTTAAAAAAAAAATTAGTTTTTTTATGGTACTTTTTTATATTTCACATATTTGGAATTCCAAAGCCATCGCTATATCTTAGGCAGTTACAATTGAATAATACATTTATTTATATTAGCAAAATATAATAAAAATTAAGAATACTGCATTCTCACGCGGTTTTTGGCTACATTTAATGTAAAATTATTAAACTACCGTAAACTGATAAATCATACAATCATTGGAATGAGCTCAATACTGACATGAAACCAATTATTAACATTTTATCAAAAAACATATGATTTAAATAATCTTAATCATAATATGAAATAAATATTGCAAGTATGTATATGCAGATTGTGTGTGCTTTTGGTGGTTGGAGTCAAATTTGATTTTGAAAGTTGTAAGGACTGATACTATTTTTACACTAATGTCTTCAATTACACAAAGAAAAAACTAAGTCCAATTTACGTTAAGCATCGGAAAACAAATTAAAATTGTTTTTTTGAAGTGGTAGGACTTTGCTGTAGCAAGAACTTTAATATAAAACTTTTTGAAATTTATAGTCAATGCTGTTGCGTGTATTACAAAATTTCCAAAGTGAGTCTTGAAACCGGTCTCTCATTAACCCTTGCAATTGGAAACAGTTATGGTTTTTAGCTCCAAAAATTTAGACTTTTTAGGATGCAGTGAGTGGTTGATTTATTCATCTTATTATTGTGATTTGTTATCGCTTTGTTACCTACTACACTTTTTAACTTCCAAACCTTAAATGTTAATCATAATCTAGATTATAAGATCCAAGCTTTTATAATTGAAAAAATTATGGAACTAACATTTTGTTTACCATGATTCTTAAAATGAATTGAGTATAAAATAAACAAATATTAAGCATGGTTATAGTTCCGAACGCGTAAAAAATATATGAGTTCTATTAACCCAATTTTTTGAAATATTATCAAGGAAAATCTAAACTGCGAACATGTAAACTTAAATGAAATAAAAAAACAAACTGGTAACAATGACATATTGAAATTTTGTAACGTTATACAATTTCAAAAAAAATTTAATCTCTATCAATTCATTTATCCTGTAACTTTGAATTAAATTGTAAAGTTCATCAATAGTATGGCTTATAGTTATAGTATTTTTTTATTTAGATTTAATTTATACGTTTAGGCTACTAAATCTCAGTACGCCATAAAAGTGAAAAAAAAAAATACTTGACTAAAAAAAATTTTAGAAAAAAGTAATGAAAAAGTTGACTAAATTGTAAAAGTTTTTTTGTGTTTGCAAAAGTTAGACCAATGGCTCTATGATTCATTTAAATTTCAATAAAATAAATTCTAATACAAGTTTGAAAATTGAATAGTTCCATTAATTAAAAGAAATGGATATTGCTGGAGGAGGGTGTAAATTCCAAGAGTAGAAAATATTTTTAAAATGTTTTATCTCGTTTATTTGAACCTATTTTAAACAATTCTAAAAATAAAAGTTGTTTTAAAAATAGATTTATTTAAAAAAAAAAAAGAATAGAGATGATAGAAAAAAAATGTAATTGATGACGGAAATAGAAAAGCTTATCCTATAATGTACTTTGTAGTTGTGCATGATCTCAATAAATTATTCAGGTCATTCTGACGACCGTTATGTACTGTTCAACGTATATAAGAGAACACTGTTCATTCAACAACACCTCTCATTTGAATCCTTTCTTTATCTCTGTCACTTTCAGTTTACAAAGCACGATAGGAATAAAATAAAGTGAGAAAATATCAGCACGTTATTTAATTAAACACAGAGAATTTGAGTGCATAATTAGTTAAAAAATATAGGTTTCATAACAACAGCAGATTGGTTTTTCGTAAATTTAAAATTATATCACAAGTTTCTGAAATTTACCTGATAACAAAATTAATCTTTTCTTTATTATACATTTCGAAAATTCCCCCCAAACTCTAAAAATGTCATTTTTAACTATTTATTGCAGAGAAACTATTAGCATTTTTTAAATTTCGAAAACGCAGAAAAGTAGTGGCTGGTTTCTTCCACTTCGCCACACGATTCTTGAACTTCAAAAAACCAAAATGGCCGTTTAAATCTACCATTATCTAAAATCCGTTTTTTTCAAATTTTTAATGCAGTCTGAAATTTAAACAGCTTTTAGACACTAGTAAATAGTTTATTTCATTACAAGAAAATTTATTATTTGAAAATTTGTTAGAAGAAACATTGCTCATCCTGTATGTATGCAATTTGTAAAATATATTCGAATATTAATGAAAGTAATTTTAATGTACTACACTGTAGATTGTTTTTAAAAGTATGGTTTTCTCTTATTCAAGGAAAAAGTGCGTTATTACAATCCATTGGTTTGGCACAACTTTATAAATAGTTACTTCTCAATATAACCGAATTATGAACACTAAATAGTAATCTGTTTCAGCTGTAATACATGTGTGGTAAAAAGGAATAATCGTCAAAGTTGATTATTACTAATTTTCGCGAGAGTAAAAATTAAAATTTGCATAATTTTCTATATTCCTGTTTTTTGATTTCTATAAATTAATAATATTTTGTTGGTGGAGTTTACTTCTACTTAAGATTGCAATTCCTTCTGAGTTCTGAATAAGTTTTAGACACCAAAGTTTATCAAGGTTTATTACGAATATGTATGTATTTTTAGCTATGTTAGACTTAAGTTATTTTTCTTTATCATGCCTGAAGTATGAACTTAAAGCGAGATTTACTATTTTGGCTAATAATTTTGTAAATATTTAACAATAAATTTATATTTTAGCGATTATTCCATAATGATGGTTAAATCATTCATTTCGAACTTTAGCAAATAGGAAAATTTCTAGTAACTGAGCCATAATAAATCATAAATACTGCAAAATCTTTCCAGGCATAGACTTAAACGTTGAAAATATTATATATAGCAACTTTAGCGATTATATGTACTTAAATTATTTATTTATAAGAATATATAATATAAAAATTTTTAATTTTTGTTTTTCTTTATTTCATTTTATAAAACACATGAGATTATGATTAATTTATCTTTCACTTATTAAAAGATATTAATTAAGTAGTTTTTGTTACGTAGTTGTTTTATGTTTACAAGAATTATTGGTTACATATTTCAAGAACTTAGCCTAACTTTCTGTGTAGTTGCATAGTATATTACTTGTATTAATCAAATTTAGTACATAATTATATAAGCGTAAACTGCAAAATTAATCGTTTAAATTATAGTTACAATTTGATTTAAATAAAAAATAGTCTAGAAATTTTTCCCTTAATTATGTTCTTTATACGTTAAGAATTACTAAGAAGAACCTTAATTTGTTTATACGCAGTTTGCTTTTTGTCTATCAGTTATTAATAATGACAGAGTATATACCTCTATTCCGAGTATTGTACCTATGTAAATCGACATTAAGAGATATTAGGAACTGGTGCATGGTTAAATAATTTACTATTTTTGAAAAGAGGTAGTATATTTCAAGCTTATAAATGTTCTGAAAGCTTAAATATCCAGGCGAAAGAGTCAATTTGAAGAGTTTTTGTATGAACAGTGGTTGATTATCTTGATGTGTGTCCCTTGACTCTAAGAGGGTTCAAAAATATTAAATTTAAGTCTACTATCTATTATCAACCCTCCGTAATTAAAACTTTTAAATAATTTATTTTTTTAAACCTTTGAGAGCCACATTTAGACACCTAGGTCATGTATGATAAATCCCTAAGCTTCTCTTTGCTCTGCGATGACTATTTGATGACAGCGACAAACAGGTAATCAGCAAAAAGGCTGTAATTTCTTTTTTTGTTTTAATTATTTTGTTTACTTTTTATTTATTTTAAATATTGTGTTGAAAACAATCTTTGTTAATGAAAAATTGTGAAAATATATCTTCTGGATATAGATACATTATATATACAATTTTTGATATTTACAATAAAATAAGCTAATTGCGTTATTGAAAACCTAAATAAATAATTTAATTTTTTAAATCAATTTCATGTAGAAAAATTGGGAAAATTGTATTATATCTTCGCATAACATGACAACATCTATGTGTCACACCAGGCATCCGTTTTAGCGGAAAGTATATTTTATTTGTAACGAGTTTTTTTTATAAATTTACCCTCTACTTCCTTTTTCCTTATTAAAAATAACGTAAACATTCATATATACAAATTTAAATAAATTTCTAATACATAAATATCTATATATAACATATGTATTATAAATCACGAGCTTACCGATCCTTTTCTTCCTGGAAAACTAAAAAACACATCTGGACCATTTCGATGTGGCATTTGTCTAAGTACATTTAATAATTTGGCCGAATGTCTTGGCTGCGAAATAAAATAATTTCAAACATTATAATTCTGTTTTTGTTGAGTTCACATTAAACGCAAATTAATGTACTTACCCATTTTCCATTAACAGCCTTCATAGTACCAAATAACAACTTAAGTTCCTTAACTGTTATACTATAACTTGCTAAAACTCCTAACATTTCTATTAATAAATCTGAAATAAAAAAAGGATAAAATTAATAAAAACTTGTTATTGATGAATCTAATTGAATTTTATTGATTATTGAGATATTAAAAAACTTTTATTTAAGTAATAATGAAGTACAGAAAAATTTTAGAAGTTTTAGTTATACAATTTGATAGTTATATTACGACTATAGTTGATTATACATGTACATATTTTGAAAAATAATAGTATTACAAGTCCTTTGTCTGGAAACTTTTTTCTACAAACTTTTAATTGAATACAAAAAATTACAATAGAATTTATATTTTAGAGAAAAAAATATTTAAACACATATTATGAAATGCCATAATTCTGAAAAATTTTTAAATATTTTAAAAATGCATTAAAAATAATATATACCCCATATTGGGGATAAACCCCAAATTACGCTTAGATAAGAAAGCTATATCAAAACTCAATTTATTTTCTTCATATGGCACAAATTTTTGGGCTATGTGTGTTACAAAAAATGAATTGCTACTTCTTCAAATTATGAAAATTCAATTTTCGCCACTCAAACTCAATCACTCGCAACCCAGCGGTACTTTTCAGTACTGAAAATAATAAGTTTTACACTTACATATATGTTTGTGAGATTTACAAAACGTGTTTTTTATTAACTGAAAACTGCCTTATAATTAATATTATAAAAAAAAATCTAAAATTTTGTTGTTTTTCAAGTTTTCGTCCGCAAAGGGTTAGCAATGATAGATATTAAGAGATATAATATGCCTGTGTATATGTTTTAATAAGAACAATGAATGTTAACCAAATTTTTATTGTCCGATTATTTTATCTAATCTCATTTGGAGGATTTTGCAAGAACAATTTCATTGGGCAGTAAAAAAAAGACAACTCAGACGAATTACTAAAACAATGAAATTGATTAATTAACAAATTTTAAAATCCATTCAGCATTTGCATGGTCTATATTTAATAACCAAATTTTAATTATGCTTATTAAAAATTTATATAAAATTTCGATGTTACATAGTTCCTTAGGAAACTTTTTAAAACTTGTGATGCTATTATTGCATACAAAAGACTATATACGTATATACGAATGATTGTCCTTAATCCAGGAAATGCAAATTATAAATGATGAGCTACTATGTAGTGCTTCTTTCGTCAAACGATTTTCGCATCTAAAATTTTGCGAATGTAGCAAAAGCAGAGTACCTACAGAACGCTTTTTCCGCAAACTTTTTGATACTTTTAATTCACTTGCTATTTTGTTTACGAATCTTATTGTAAAATTCTAAGATTTTAAAAAGTGATGATATTTAACTGAGTTTTAAGTAACCTAGGCAAATTAACCTAATTGCGATACGCAATTGCTCATAGTTTTCATAATTATACAATTGTTCATAATTGTACGCATGTATCCAGCTTGATAATTATTACCTATATATAATTAAATTAATATTCAGAAAAGTAAATCCACATATTAGACACTGTAATTATGTCCATACGTTATTTCAAAATGTGGAAATTAATGTTTGTATGAAACAATAGCTATACAGTTATAAACTGAAACAATATACATACTAAAAAACCGTACTTTAAATTTTATAAACCTAAAATTCTGTGCTACAATAATAGTAACTTTTTTACAAATTGTAAGTTTTTTACAAATTAAATCGCAAAACTAAATTTTAAAGCTCAAATGCAAACATAATTAAAATATTTCTTTAACGCTCATAAAAACTGAAAATAACGCAAGCCATACTCGCAATCTGAAATAAATATTTCCAGCAACAAACAAATTTAAATAACTTATCTTTAATTTTTGACAAATATCAGTTAATCAATCAACCATGATCGATTAGAAACAAACTCAGAATACACTTTAAGTGTCTTGAATGTTCTAAGTAATTTATAATTTGAAATTTGTTGTTTTGTTTTTATCAAAGTTTATCTGTTCATAAGAATCAAGAAAAAAATAAAACAAACTTTATAAGAATTTTGGAAAGAAAGTTAAAAGATTAACTTTAACTTTAATCTCTTAAAATTTTTTTTTGTTCTTGCCTATATAGATTTATCATAAAAGTTAAATCGAAAATTACTTTTTAATTCTTTTAACGTTCCCTGCGAAAATAAACATGTGTTTCACGAAATAAGAACTTTTCAATAATAAATTAAGATTATTTTCTAATATTTTTAGTTAAAAAACCATTGTACAAGTTAAAACAAACTTCATGGTTTGCATAGAGGCACATTTCTGAAAACTAAGTACTTACATACATATATCATAAAACATTTTAATCAAGAAAAGTGTAATTTCTTATATAATTTTAGTTTTATTTTACGCTTCTAAAGAAATTTCGCTGTTTTATAGTGAAATATCATTCCTTTCACATATTTGGATTTCATGTACTCCTCGTTTTAAAGGTTGGGAATGAACAAAATTTAAAGTTAAATATTTAAAAACTTACGAAAATCTGCCAAAGGAAGATATACTTCAAAACAAAGGTGAGTGTATTTGGCAGTAAAAATTGTATTGGTGAATTAATAAAGTTTCCTTAGATCTATTTTTCGAAATATGCCCTCAATTTCAAAATTTATCTTGACTGAAAGTAAAATTTCTTCAATGTTACAAATTATTTAGATTTTTTTTACTGCAAAATAGACCAATAAACTATAAAATTTTCGAAACTATTTTGTATTGTCTTTTAAAGGAGAAAGCAACTATGAAATAACAATTCCAAAAGACCGAAATAAAGTTCAACATTTTCATATTACTTATTTTTTGGTACAAAAATAGAAAACCCAGAAGAGGAAAAAAGTAATAATAACAAAAAACCGTTTTCTTTCAAAATATTAAAATCTACTGTTGAACGTGTGTTCCATTTTTATAAAACAGAGACTATCCTTGTATTTAACATATATATGTACATATTTAATCAGTTCTTGACTAAAAATCCAAAAAGCAAACCATTGGAACATTTAAAGAATTTCAAGAATTTTATAATATTTTACGTATTTAAAATAACAAATGCGAATGAAAAGAAGAGTATTGCACCTACATAATTTGTATGAATATGAAAACCTATGATGCTCGACTAATAATTATAGGAAATCTCGATAAATAATGATATTTTCTAACAACTAAATATCTTAAAATTGATATTTTTCAAATTTATTAAGACACAGTTATAATAGAAGTTTTCTTGTTTTTTAGTAAGTGATGTACAATAAGTTCTTCATTAAAAACATTTTCTGGCAACATTTTTTGTCATCCTCTAACAATTTAATGATAAACTGTCATGTTAATCATGCAAACTACACGTCAAAATGTCAATCATTTTATTCAAACTTGACTTAAAGAAGTTCAAACTCGATTTAAGCTTTTTAATAGGAAAAATCTCAAAATAGATTTCGCATTTAAGTAGAATCACATATGTTGCTTTTTTGATAGATAATTTTTTTTTTCTAAGTACTCTGTGTGACAGCTGGTATATGTACATACATACATAGGCAAAAAACGCGGTTAACTGAAAAGCGTTTATAAATAACTTTTAATTAATATTAAAAATTAAAGATAGAAACAGTATAACTGTTTTGCTCATTATCTCTCTCATTGGATTTTCTTATTTTTGCTTAGGTAATAAATTATTAACCTTTCAATTTGTCGATCCTTTCGACCAGTAATTATCTTGCTATTGATTATTGCCTTTTTACCTTATTATCGATACCAAATTCTAATTAATGTTTAATTAAGCTTAATTGCTACGAGAAGGTAAGAATATATACAGCATCCATATTTTAAATATAATAATGAATATGTGATAAGAACGTTATTATGTTTTATGAAGAATTTCATATTTAACATATTTATTAACAATAATTTATTCAAACCCATGGTGTGTAATACAGAACTTTTCCCTTCAAAAAGTGAAAATACTGCTTTTAAAAACAACCTATGTGCATATGTAAGTACCATTAGAACACTATTAACATCATAGAATAATGTCCAAGAGTTTGAGATTTTAAGAGTTTTAAAATTAAGCGATTCTCGGATAAATTCCCATCAAGTGAAATTAAGCAAACTTGTAAAATATTTTTACGAGCTTACTTTGAACATAGCTGTAAACATTTTAAAAAACGTTTAAATATCTAAATCATTTACTTGTCATTGAAATGACAAATATTTGAACAGCTAAAAAACTGGAAACAACGATACCTATAGATCCTAATTGACAGCCATTTCAACGGGTACATTCTTAAAAAAAATGTGTTCACATTGAGTAATTTTGTAAAAAAAATTGCCAACAGATGTCGTAAACAGAAAAATTTTCACTATTTCTTTAAAAAGTAGGAATTCTTCCCCTGGCTTTCTTTTTGTCAAAATTTATTTTGGTGATTTTAAGCCAGCGAAATTGAATGAAATTAGATATTTTTACGTCGCAAATCACATGATTTTAAGAGAGTTTCTATAAAGCGAACTCAAATATGTGTAAAAGTATATGGAGACTTTTATGGGCAAAAATTTTGTGAATATAACCGAGTTGTGGTATTAGACGGGGTTGATATTGAGCGTGTTTGACTGTACATTATTGCAATTATTTTCAGTCATGCGAGAATATTTCAAAAATTATCCAAAAAAAATTAATGAGCGTTAGCATATTGTTCTAATTTGTTAAAAAAGTTGTTAATAAAATATTGTAGTATTTTGGTGAAATTTTCGAAAATTTACAATGATTTTTAAAAATGGAAAACATTTTCAAAAATAATTTATTTGTCCAATATACACTTAAAGTCATAATAGCGTTCATGGAATTCTTTCAGTTGTCGACAAATCTGCCGGTATGTCTAACGTAATCTGTAGGTCCGAAGTGTACATAATTAATATGTGTGAAAGTGATCATGTGAATAAATGAATGCAAATAAAGAAAAAATATTTTTTAATTCAAAAATGCTAGGCACGTTTGTAATATAGTTACATTCATTTTGTTTTTCGCTTTTTTACATCCTTGAAATATCCCATT